AGGACCCTGTTCTGGTCCCCTCTGGGCTGTGCCCGTGACCCTCGTGTGGCACTTTGGGCTGTCCCCATTCTGAGTGCAGCTCATCTCCTCCCAAACCATGCACACACCACAGGCCTGTGAGATAGGATGGCCATACTGGGGTTTTTTTTTCTGTTTTCTTCATTAAATTTTCTTTCTGTGAGAGTTATGCTCCTTGTGCACACAGCCACTGTGGTGGGAGCACAGGGTGCCACAGGAGCTTTAACCCTGGTCCTTGGGCTCAGTTGTCTCCCTGACTGTATCTCCAAGAACATCTTTAAAAGCTGCTCTGTGGAAAATAGGTGAGTTACAGTTCTGTCCTCATGTCTCATCAGAACTGGCTGACCTTCAAAAGCTCTGCTGCAGAGACGCTSGCTCGTGCCAGAAGAGTCTTCTGGTGCAGCTCAGAGCCACGTTTGTCAAGAAGGAGCTCAGTTTTCCTCTGCCTGCCCAGGGGACAGGGATGTGCTGACCCTGTGGTGGGTGCTGGGGTGGCCTGGGCAGGGAGCAGCCCTGCACGGTGTGAGGATGTGTCACCAGATACYGAGAGGTGCAGGGTTTGGGATGGTRGGGACCATTAATGSCCATCTGACCCCACCCCTGCCATGGCAGGGACACCTTCCACTGCCCCAGRCTGCTCCAAACCCTGTCCAGCCYRGCCTTGGACRCTTTCAGAACCAGGCACCCTGTGCCAGGGCYTMCCCACCYTCAYTGTGAATTATTTTGTGCTTGTATATATTCTAATTCTGCCTCTTTTACTTTTAACCCATCATCTCTTGCCCTGTCATTACAAATCTTGCTAAAAACTTCATCCCCATCTTTCTTAAAAGCTCCCTTTAGGCACTGGAAGGGGCTCTAAGGTCTCCCCAAAGCTTTCTCTCCTCCAGGCTGAACAAGTCCAGCTCTGTCCCCTTTCCTTGGAGCAGAAGTGTTCCAGACCTGTGGTTATTTTTGTGATTCTGCTCTGGACCTTATTCCACAGCTCCAGGTCCCTCCTGTGCCAAGGCAGGTCTGCAGAATCCCCCTTCCCCACTGCCCATGGGGGGCTCAGCCCAGCTCGGGGGGTTTGGGGTCTCAGCACAGGGGGGTTTGGGGTCCCAGTTCACAGGGTTTGGGGTCCCAATTCATGGGGTTTGGGGTCCCAGCTCGGGGGGTTTGAGGTCCCCGCACAGGGGGCTTTGGGGTCTCAGAGGGTTTGGGGTCCCAGCTCAGGGGGTTTGGGGTCTCAGTTCATGGGGTTTGGGGTCCCAATTCAGAGGGTTTAGGGTCCCAGGTCAGGGGGTTTGGGGTCCCAGTTCACAGGGTTTGGGGTCCCAGTTAGAGGGTTTGGGGTCCCAATTTAGAGGGTTTGGGGTCCCAATTTAGAGGGTTTGGGGTCCCATCACAGGGGGGTTTGGGGTCCCAGCACACACGGCCAGCTCAGGAGCAGCTCCCACCCCCCAGCACCCCCAAGTCCTTCTCCCAGGGAGGTTCTTGGTCTGTTCATCCCTYAGCCAAGACCATCCAACTCACTGCTGGGGCACCCATCACAAAAAGTGCTTGGAAAGACACTTCCAGGAGCCCCTGTGAGTGCAGTTGGGGTGGGTGGCATCCCGAATTTTCCAGCAGCTCATGGCAACATCTGCTCAGGCATTTCTGTGTCAGTGGTGCAGGAGTCTGCTGGTCCCCACTGCTGCTGCTGCCACACTCTGCTGGGAGCCAGAGCCTTAAAACAAACAAAAATAATAATATCAAAAGAACCAGAAAATGTTTTGCCCATCAGAAAACTTCAGTTTGACGAGCTAACACTTCCCATGAAATATTGAAGTATTCTCCTTGAAGGTGGGTTTGGGATTTTTTTGTCTCTGCTGGTCAGATCTGTGCTGTGCCCTGTGGCTGCACTTTGGGGTGGGCCCTGATTTTCGGGTCTGCTTTGATCCTCAGCACCCAGAGCCACCCAGCTGGGTGACACACAGGTGGCTGTGAAAATCCCATCGAGGCACAGCTCACTCTGACTGAGTCGAAGGATCTCTGTGCATCAGGATCCCAGCTCAAGCTGCTTAGTGATGTTCTCACTCAGAAATAGCTGCAGGAGGAGCAGGAACAGGAACAAACTCTGCTGTTTGGCCCAAACATTCCAGTTTCCTCTGAGGACAGCATGGGGTTTTTCCTTAATGTTCCATTTTGGGTTTTTAGGTGCTTGTGTTTGTTCTTCAGGCTTTTCCTCCTTGTCCTACAGGTTAAGAGACATTCTCTGGAAATTCTTTTGTGGAGCACAGATAGAAAAGCCTGTCCTTTCTCTGCAGAGCAGAGGGGGAAGGGGAAGAGGTGAGGAAGCACCAGGGAAGGACTGCTCGTGGTGCACCAGTGGYGTTTGGGCACCACAGAGCCCTGGAAAGGAAGGAATCCCTGCAGGCCTGACCTTCCCTGTGGCTCTGAAAGAATGTTTGGGTGTTTAGAGGGGAGAGGGAAAGCCAAAGAGATTTCCTGCTGAGGAGAGGAGTGAGGTCAAAGCCAGAAGATTGCTGAATTACAGAAGGTGAACACCGTGGCTGAGACCCTGTGTGCTCAGGCTCCCTTTGGTAGATTCTGGGTGTTCCAGGCTGCACAACTGCTGGGCTTCCACTCCTTCTGTGCTCATTTCCCAGTCACCCTCTGAGAAGGGGTCAGATTTCCCATGCCATGAGCTCTAATTTCTGAAAACACAGCTGGATCACAAGGTCCCCATTTGTGGTTCACAGATGCTGCTCAGGAGCAGATGTAGGAGCGGTGTGGTTGAAGGAGCAAGCTGAATTGTGGTGTGTAGGAAAGGAAGCYCAGAGAGTGCCCAGAGCTGCTGAATTTCCTCCATTTTCTGTCCTTTTTGTTGAGATAACATTTTTCACGCCTCGTTTCTGTGAGCTTCCCGCCTCTCTCCTGCTCACAGGTGAACTGACTGATGCAGTTTCTATTGCAGCACCCTTTCTGCCATGGACCTGCAGCCCGCTGTCCCACTATGACAGAGCACGTCCCTGAGGCACAGAACCTCCTGTCCCAGCTGCAGACTCGAGGAAGGAGCTCAGGACGTACAAAACTCCGAGGCTGAACAGAAGGCACGCTGTGAAAGGTGGATATAACAGTTTTTGGGTTTGAAAATACAAGGAGCTGTTATTCCTCATGATATTCTTCTGCCTTCTGGCAGATAWTTTGTTTCATTTTGGGTTAGGTTTGGTTGCAGCCCACAGTTCTTCCCAGGGTTAGAGCTCAGAGTGTTGGCAGTGGTATGTGGCTCCCTGTGCCTCACAAGACACACTCTCAGGCTGTGCAATCACCACTGATGCTGACACTTAGAAATATCAAACCAATTCCCTGGTTTGGGTAAAGGTTCATGGTGTGCAAGGCTCGGTTTGGGGGTGTGCAGCTGGCCTTGCCTTTACATTTGCAAAAAAGCCCCTGGATCCATGAAATCCATGGAAAGGGAGGATAAAGCACTATGACTGTCACATGGATGACCAAAAGCAGCAAGCAGGGAGGCTGGGTGGGCAGGGAGGGTCTGTGAGTGTCACAGCAGGTGTGACACTCTGTTAAAGCTCGTGCTTTTCACACGGGGCCAGCAGATGCCTTTGTGTCACAAATGAGTTGAGAATTAGCCTTGGTCACTCTGGAAGGTGCCCAGGACAGCTCCTCGTCATTCTGTTTTCCTGTGATTTCTGTCACTTCCAGGTAAATGGGAGATTTGGAGACTAGCTTAATCCATACACGAAAAACATGTAGAATAGAGCAAATGGTAGCAAAATGGCTTCATCGCTCTCGGGACGGCGCACCCAGGTAAGCGTGGTTTTTGTGGAAGGGATATCTGCGATCACCTTCACTCGGAGGGAGCACGAGGCTGTTCCCAAGGAACAGGGGCTGCCACAGCCCGCAGATCTCACTCCCTGTTCCCATTGTTCCTGGGAAATATGCGTACAGAGAAAGAAAAGCAACAGTGTTTTTAAGCAACCCCCTTGGCTTCCAGGGACAGATGTTCCTGCGTTGCTCTGCTGTGGTTTTGTGAGGAAGAAATACAGCACTGCTCCGTGTGACACTTGTTCTTCTCAGAGGTGGGGTCATGCTTCTCTTTGTGTTTTGCTATGGKCCAGGCGAGGTTGCATTTGCCAGGGGTCCTGGTCTGTGGCTGCTTTCCTTCCCTGCGGTCTGAGAGTGGCCGTTAGGGTGGAGTGGACATGCAGTGGACACACATGAGCTGGAGTGATCCCAGGGCTGCCTCGCTGGGGGAAGGTGCTGCTGTTTCTTGTGGATGGAGTCATGGAGTCATGGCTTGACCAGGGGCACACCTGGGCCTTTGCTGTGTGACCACTGAGCCAGGCTGACTGGACAGTTGTGGTTCCATGCAGTCTGATGGCCTCAGCTTTCTGCAGARCCCGGGGAATTGCTGCTGGGGACCCGGGGAGTGCCAGCCTTGGGGCTGCACCACAGCCTGCTGAGAGCAGGGAGGTGTGTGAATCTAGGCCTGCCAGACGAGTGTCTGTGGTTCTGTCGTGTTTGATTGTCCTTCTGATCCCACAGGAGCAGCGTGCCTGCGATGGACAGCRCYGGGGACAGMGCAGCTCAGCCCCCCAGCCGGGTCAGAGTCACCGTCACCGTCTACAAGGACCTGGTCCTGCAGCACTATGGCTTTGAGATCTGCCCCAGCCTTCCCCTGACCATCGCCTCTGTCACTGCAGGTGAGCATCCCAGGGGCCCAGGGGCTCTCAGTGGGGAGCTCTGCCGGGGCTTTGTGGTTTCTGCTCGGTGTGTGAGCCCTGAACGCTGCAGGCACAGCCCTGGGTGTCTGTGGCACACAGAGCACTCGGATATCTCCCTGTTTGGGCAGCACAGAGGCAGCCTCAGTGTCCCCGTGGATCCTTCACTCACTCACTGTTGACCTTCATGATGCTCTTCATAAAGCTCTTCCTGGTGTTTTATTTGAAATGCAGAGGAAGAATTTAATCTTGTCTTAGAGAATGTAATCTTATTCTGCTGTGGCCACTGTGATCTGTTGCTGAACAGACCCTGGGCTTTCAGCTCTCTGACAGGGAGAGGTGCAGGCAGTGGTGAAGTCAAGCASATCAGCTCCTCCAGCTATAGAAGGGACAGGTGTAACTCCAGAACTGTGAATGTGTTTCTTACTCATATTTTATTTTTTTAGTGGGTGCAGAAAACCACCTGTTGTTTACCTGTTGGTGTGAGTGTGGCAGCCCTCTGTCTGGGGTGTGGCTGGTGCTCTGGTCTGGGGCAGGAATCCTCTGTCACCTCCTGCTTTTCTTTGTGCTACTTCCCATGTGAAATGCGGTGAAATTATCTGAGAGTTGTGGGACAGAAGAACTGGGTTGTTTTTTTTTTTTTTTTTTTTTTTTGCTGTGCTTTTCTTCTTTCCTAATCAGAAAGAATCAGCATTTTACTAAAACTGAGCTGCCCTTCTGAGCCCTGTCCTTTGCTGGTGGGAGCACACAGCCCCATTTGGTTCCCAGCATGGATGTCCAGGGGGACAGGCACATGCAGGAATGGTTTCCATGGGGCAGAGGGAAGCTCAGGTGGGGGACATGGACACAGGCAGGGACACAGCAGCCGGTGACAGCATCCAGTGTCCTTCAACCCCTGTGATTTTGCCRAGGGAAGAAGGTGCTGGGAGGGAAGAGGAGCTCTCAGTGGGTGTCTGTGCCACCCCCAGCGCAGATATGGTACCCGGGGGCGGGTTAGGGGTGGAGCTGGCATTGCTGGATCGATGGCAGGACTCCAGGACATTTTCCCGATGTGCATGACCCTGTGGTCACTGGTGTGGGGTGTCCGGCCGTGACTCAGTCCATGCTGCTGCCCACAGGGAGCACCGCCGAGGGGAAGCTGCAGCCCGGGGACCAACTCCTGACCATCAACTCCACCGCGGTGGACGACGTGTCCGTGGAGAGGGCAGCCAGCATCATCAGGTGTGTGCTGTCCCCTGAGCCTGTCCCCTGTCCCCTGTGCCTGGGCTTGGGCACAGGCCCTGCCTGACCGCTCATCTCTGTTGCAGGGACGCCGGCGATGAGCTGCTGCTGACCGTCCTGCGCTGCCCATCTGTGAGTGACCCTTCCTTTGCATGGCCAGGGCTGAGGGGTGGCTGGACTGGCATGGAGGCTCAGAGGGGCTGGCCAAAGCCGTGAGAGTGCCCTGGGCATCCTCTGCTGTCACACACACCCCTGGAGGGGGCTTGGGAGAGTGGACAGTGACCCCTCACAGCCCCTGGTGCGGGGTCAGGCCGGCTTGTGGTGCAGGTTACAGGGAGAAACTCTGTGCTCCCTCACCCWGGTGGGCTCTGGAAGGTCTGGATGTGCATGGGGGCTGCTCCTGGATCCCATCCTCGGGGCAGGATGGGGCTGTGGCAGGCCAGGAGGGGTGGGCTCTTCTGACAGGTGAAGAATTAGCTCTGCCTGGAAGCCACACAGGAGGACACTGAGGGATTCTGCCACTTTACAGGGGATTTGTGCACAGGGACTTGGTGTTTCCTGAATTCATGTGGTGTCTTGGGAGCTTGATAGGACCCTGGCATGGGAAAGCGAGGTTGTGGCAGTGGTGCAATGGGGTCCAGTTGTCTTTACAACCTTGGGCAGTTTTTTAATGGTTTGCAGTACACTTTGGGAAGCTGTGGAGCTGGGGTGTGCTCCCCACATGGGCTGGCAAGAGTCCATCACTGCCAGGCTCTCTGATGTGTTGGTGTGGGTACAGCCCCACTGCAAGCAGCTGTTGGCAGATGCCTGGTCACTCTCTGGGGTCCTGGCTTTGTCCYCAGGACGTGGGGACACTCCTGGTTCCTGTGACACTGGCAGTGTCTGTGCTCGCTGGGCAGCCAGGGCCGGGCTCAGCAGCTGCCCAGGCGGGTCAGAAGGGTCTGTGGCACGGCCCTGCCCGCACTGGGGGCTCTGCTCCACCCTGACCAAATCCCGCTGTCCTTTCAGGGTGGCCCCAAGTCATCGTTCCTCACCGCGGAGAAGAGGGCGAGGCTGAAAACAAACCCCGTCAAGGTGCGGTTTGCGGAGGAGGTGCTGCTGAACGGACACTCGCAGGTCAGGGGGGCAGGAGGGAACACGGGGCTGTCCCGTGCAGGGTGTCACACTGGGGTGCTGTGGCTGGGCTCACCGTGCTGCTGTGCACTGCTCAGGATCCGGGAAAAGCGCTGCCACCTGTGGGGTTTTGGGTTTGATGTGCTCATTTGGACTGATAGAAAATACCCGCACACCCTGCTCATGTCCTGTCACCCTGTCAGACCTTGAGCCATCCTTGCAGTGCTCGGAGAGGCTGCTGCCATCTCTTGGGGTGCTGATCCATGCGTGGTGAGCCCACTGAAGTGTGGGTGTGACAAATCCTGACCCTAGAGCTGAGAGTGAACGCTGATGTGTGTGCCAGGTTGATGTGCTGCTGGAGGGACTGGGCTGTCCCCTGGTGGGGACAGGCAATGCCGTGTTCCCAGGGTTTGTCACTGGTCACTTTGCTTTGCTGTTAGGTGTGGCAGTGTTCCTGAGCTGGCAGGGTGGCAGCTTGCTGTCATATCCCAGCAGAGGGTTTGCACAAAGCATCCGTGGTTCCTTCGGTCTCTGTCATGGTTTCTGGAGGCTGCTTCGATCCCCTCCACGGGTTCCTCGTGCAGGGAGCAGCCCAGCTCTGTGCCTGTGTTGGTCTCCCTGGAGCAGAGGTGACAACATTTGTGTCTTGCCCACAGTGTGAACAGCTCTTCAGCATCTCCTTTTCCTCCTGTGTGACTTACAGAGAGAACTGGGGTCAATTTGGGGTCATTAGCTCTGTCGAGATTCCCTTTTATCTTTCAGAATGAAAAAATTCTGTGGTCAAAACCCCTCTCTCATATCCCSTGCTCATTTGTGCTGTTCATCATCCAGGTGTGACCAAATCTTTCTGCTTTGCAGCAATGACGAGCCACTCATGGGGCCATTTTCCTTTTCCCTTCCTGCCTCTTATTCCCTCTTGCTGGTGGGAGGGAGCTCTCCTGATAGAGCTCAGAGCTTTCCCAGGGCTGACATCTCCTCTTTTTCCCCTGCACGTGGGCAGAGGTACAGCCAGAGGTGCCCATGGGTGATAACTCAGCCCCTCTGCTCTGTCCCTCTCTGCACAGGGGTGAGGGTCCGTCTGTCCCTCTGGAGCCTGGGATCCTTCCCTTCCTGCCACGCTGTCACCAGTGCTGCTGCCAGGCTGGTCCCTGCGTGTCAGTGACATCCTGAGTGTCACTGACAGGGTGGCAGCAGAGCCCTCCCTGGCACAGCTGCTGGGAGATGTGACACCGTGGCTGGGAATGGGGAAGGGGAGGATGTGCCCAGAGATGCCTGAGAGYTTTGGGCAGGATGCCATCCCCGTGGGATGCCGGCAGACCCAAAATCACCAACACACCCTGCTGTTCCTACAGCTGGGATTTGACACTGGTGTCTGCCTGGGGTTCCACGGAGCTGTGTCAGCTGGGCTGGCACTGCTGTCACAGCCCACCAGGTCCCACATCTGTGCCACTCACTCACTGATCACAAGGTTGGCCTCTGTGAGTCTGGAAACCTCTTGAGAGGTTGGAGAAGGCACATCTGGAGGGAATGCTGCACTCTGGGCCTCCCCAAAGCCTCTGTCAGCATTGCACTGAGCTAATCATGTCTCTGCAAGTGCAGAGGAGGGACACAATCACTATAGATTGCCATCCATTTAATGAGAGCTTACAGGGAGAAGAAATTAATTCAGGTGGTGGGGTCCCACTGGTGTTAGCTTCCCTTTTCACCAGYTGCATATGTAACCTGTTTTGAGCAGTGAAGTATTAGCACAAAGGAAGAGTAAATAAATTTGTTGCATATTTATGACTTCTTTCTGGAAAAGCACTATCCACCACAGCAGCCCTGAGTGCTTTAAGCCTGCTCTCCTTTCCATGGGCTGACGTACTAAGGCAGCCAAGATGGGTATTATGGCCCTGAAAAACCCTACAGCCTCCTGCTTCAGTAAATATACTGCTCTCGTCATCCTAATGGAGCATGGCTAATTGATCCTTGTGGCCGCGGGAAGGATCCCAGCACTGCATTCTGCAGCTGAAACCCGAAACCCCGGGCTGGAAACATCAATTGTTAATGAGGCTCGCTGCCGTGCTGCCTCCGCTCTCTGCAGACTGATGATGTCTTTCCGTAGCACTGAGTGCTGTGCCGGGGCCGAGTCCCTGGGGAGCCGTGTGTTATCAGCAGCTGCAGCTCGGGGTGAGTCAGGAGTCAGCCTCACCCCACACARGACACCAAGGGTGCAGCTGCTGAGGCTCGCAGGGTTAATTCATAACACAAAAACACAGAATCCTCTTCTGGGGGTTCTGGCTGGATAAGTGGATCTGAGCAGGAGAGTGGTGATAATTTGTGTACATGTTAAGTTTTGCTGTGTGCTGGCTGTGGAAAGCCCCACTCAGGTGATAACTGTGGCCATGGGAGCTACCAGAGGAGATGTGCAGCCRGTGTGAAATGGCATCGCTGTCCTGGAACTGATGGAGCCTGTCAAAGATGTGATGAGTTTGGGCTAATTAGCACAGAGGACTTAAATCCTGGGCTGGGAATAGCAGCAGYGTTTTCTCTTTTCTCTCAGTGGTGACTGTAGGCTGCTTGAACCCCACAAAAGGGGGATGAAGGAAGGAGGTTCAGAACTGGTTTATGTTTGCCCTGGCAGTACTTCCAGGATGTGTGGGCTCTCTGTGTAGAGGGGCCAAGGCTGTGAGGTTTGGAATGTGTGGCACAGTAAATGAAACAGGAGAGATGATTGTCTTAGAAGCACCATTCTTAACCCTGAGACTCTCTTGACGAGTAAATGAGCCCTTTAAGTGATGGGAGTAATGTGCTGGTCCAAGAATGAAAAAATTCTGAATAGGAGGTCCAAGAGTGGAGGAGTAAACCTCCTRAGCACTGAACAACCAGAGGAATAACAGTGGATTTGGAAAGAAAGCTGCAGGTGTTCTCTGCTAAAGCAGTGAGGTGGAGGGCTGAGAGGTGATGCTCCAGACCACYCCGGGAGGACAGAGACCAAGTCCTCACACTCTTCTCAAWGCACCCAAAGATGTTTTTGCTGARGGTATCCTTGCCTTGTCCYGTGTGACCTATCTCAGGACACCGTGGTGGCACCATTTCCTGCTCAGGAACTCCAGGGTTACAAATCTCTGGTTGGTGCTCAGTGAAAGTGGCACTGGGTGTTTCACAGCCTTCCTGTGGCGGTGGCAGCACCGAGGGTGTGGTGTCAGTGCCGGGGTCTGCGCTGCCCAGTGATGTTTGATGGGGAGAGGCCTTTTCTGRAAGCGCTGCTGGGTTTTGCTGATGAGCAGGGAGGATGACTTTCTGCTTTCAGTGCCTGCCAGATCCTCCTGTGCCGCTGGGAGTGGAATGGTGCTCCCAGGCCACGTGCGGCCGCTGCACTGCCCAGAGTGTTACGGTAAAAGCATTTGTTGTGCTCCCTTTCTGTCATTCAGTGCCAGAAGCATAATCAGGAATAAAGCTTGGTGCCATGGAAGAGGCTTGCCAAGGCAGAGAAGGATTTTCCTGGATGCCAGGACTCGATGTGCCAGGCAGAGCAGCTGGTGCCTGTGGGCTGGATGCCCGAGGGTCCAGCTGCTGCTTTTGTTCTGCAGGGGAGCTCCCTCCTGTTCATGCCCAATGTTCTCAAGGTGTACCTGGAGAATGGACAGACCAAGGCCTTCAGGTTTGAGAGGACCACCACTGTAAAGGTAAGGATGGCTGTTCCCACCAGCCAAGACCAACCCAGCCCAACCCAATCAACCCAACCCAACCCAAGCAACCCAACCCAATCGACCCAACCCAATCAACCAACCCAACCAACCCAACCCAACCCAACCCAACCAACCATCCCAATCAACCCAACCCAACCCAATCAACCCAACCCAACCAACCAACCCAACCAGCCCAACCCAACCCAAGCAACCCAACCCAATCAACCCAACCAACCAAGCAACCCAACCCAACCCAATACAACCAAATCAACCCAACCAACCCAATCAACCCAACCAACCCAACCCATCCCAACCCAACCAACCCAACCCAACCGAACCCAACCCAACCTAACCAACCCAACCCAACCCAAGCAACCCAACCCAATCGACCCAACCAAACAAGCAACCCAACCCAACCAACCCAACCCAACCCAGCTCAACTCAACCCAACCAACCTAACCCAATCAACCCAACCAAGCCAACCAACCCAAGCCAACCAGCCCAAACAACCCAACCAACCCAATGAACCCAACCAACCAACCCAACCCAACCAACCCAATCCAACACAACCAACCCAACACAACCCAACCAGCCCAAACCAACCCAACCCAACCCAGCCAACCAGCCCAAACCAACCCAACCAACCCAATCAACCAACCCAACCAACCCAACCCAACCCAACCAAC